AAATGAGATATATAGGCTCAAAGTGGACGATCCGGGTGTCGTTCTATTAGAGGTTTTACGGTAACAAAAATCTGTCAAATGATAAAATGTTTTTCATATTATAATCAATATTTTATCAGTTGACACATTTTCGATATTTCTTATAGAAATAGAGATATTTTGGCTCAAAGTTGGCGATCAGGGCGGCCTTCTTTTAGAGTCTTTACGGTATCTCTGAATCATAACCAAACTTTTAGGAAAGAATTCAAATTTTAGCTTTAATCAGAATTAGGTTTATATTTAAAGAGATTTACTCCAGACCACCAAAAACCGAACTAACTACAAATTCGTTTTCCAAACAAATCTGCGTTTCTTCTATCTTCTGTATTACCGGAAATAGCTTTCTCATGAACTTTTCATTGTCTTCAATACTCATTTTTTATGATGGCAGAGTACGGTCATAGGACAACAATGACTACAGTTAAGAGAGTTATATTACGGAAGTTATTATCCAAATTACAGTTTCATTCTTCCGGGATGATTTCGTATTGCATAAGACGAGAGGGTGTCAACAGACGGATTACACAACAATACACATCACGTTCTTGTCCCCTCTATGATGAGCCTTTGTTTGTTTTGGATACATTTTTCTGATGTAATAAAGTTCTAGTGTAATATGTAACTCAATTTCTGAAGGAACGAGAACCATTTCTACACCCATCTGAAAGTATAGCTTTTGCACTAAAAACCAACCGATAATATTATACTGGTATGCAAAAATCGGAGCTATGAAAGAGAAAATCTGATGGTCGCGGCAATTACCGTAGTTAGCAAATACTTTTTTTCCCGGTTTTCTGGGTCGAAAAACTTTAGGTTACGGTAGTTTTCGTTCCGAGGATCATTGGCCACTCCCACAAGCTTTCCTCTTCCACAGCTTTGGGATTTTTGAACCAAAATAATACACACATTTATGATTTAAGAAAATCTACAAAAGTGAAAGAGTTGTCCGGATTAAAAAGAGCTTTGAATAGTAGAGAAATAGCATACCAACCCGAGTTAGAGTTTTGAATTTTTCTTGGTCTGCTATACTAGCATGTTGAGCCGTGAAATGTAAGATCTGCGTTAATTCAAATCTCCGAAAACAATTGATGAAATTGAACATTTATTGAGACTTCTAAAGAAACACTCAAAGCAAAGAATAGTAATTGGCAATTCTATCAGCTTCTCGTAGTCCACTTCTGGCTGCTCCAACAACAGTTTGAAACATTTCTGAATCAGTGTGCTCTCCAGCAAAACAAATAACTGGTCTGAAAGTAATTCCGAGTTTATAAATTCAATATAACAATCTAACCGTCTATTGGTCAGTATTGGATCTCTCATCAGCTTAATGTCATCTGTGTTCGATTGACATGACTTATTGGAGATATAAGAATAACTTCCAAGAGCAAACTCGTCAGAAATCCAGCTATGACGATGAATTCTTTGAATTTTTGATACAATATAAACGTTTTTCAGATTTGTATCAAGATGGTTGTCGAGGACAGTCATCAGTTGAGAATCGGTTAACTTTGAAGCTTCTAATGGCCCGTTTCCAGCAACCCAAGCCACAAGGATCTTTAAAGAAAAAATTTTCTTTCCACTTGGGATTCTAAACTCACTTTTCTAGCCCACAAAAATGGCTGAAAAACCATCAAATCGTCTTCTAGACTGTTGCTAGTTTCAGTATTACCAACTCTTCCAGATATTTGAATCGTTGACATACCATTTGGCCACCATGGATCATTATACTCTAGGAAGATTTTCATATTATTTCCGAATCCAAATCTGTCAATTGCAGCTGATTTAGAGACAGAAAGAGCAGGAGTGAATAATGTGGTTTTGTGCTTCTTCAGATATCCAAGAGAGGCTGTGATAATAACGGAATCAAAGAGAAAATACTGTCCATTTGAGAGCATAATTTTGACTTTGGTACCTAAAGAAACTGAAATTAACATTTTTATAAGCATATACAAACCTGTATAGTCCACATTAACAACTTTGGAAGACATCCCGATTTTGGTTTTAGGAACTTTTGAAGCCAATTCATCTAGAATGCTCTTGAATCCAATTTCGTTTAGCGTTGCTTCAGAATCGACTCCGGAATCCCAAGTGTCGAAATTTCTCAAGCATAACTAAATTTTGAATATCGATAAATTTCAAATATAAATTTCTTACATCAGTGGAAGGAGCGGACCATTCCAGTTGATACTGATTTTTGAACAATTTATTCATATTCTGCATCACAGTTTGTTCTGACTGGCTGAGCTTTTGTGCTTTCATAAAATCGCTAAAATAGAAATCGATTCTTTCCGAAACAGATTGATTTTTGACTTCCTTTCTGGCTCCATCTCTCTCCAATTTCTCATTTGTACTACTCTCAAATTTATCCCAGATTTTGTACATCTTGCTGAAAAAAAAAGAAAATTATCCAAAAAAGCGAGGATCTCACTTGTTGACTTCTTGTCCATATACTACCGTTTCGTATCCCTCTTCATCAATTTCTGTTGCAGACAACAGATTATTCTTTTTCACAATTTCATAAATTTCATTATCCTCTCCATTCACATACTCCGCACCATATTGAAGATATCCACTTTGATAGGAAAAGGGGAATACTCTTCCACCGACTCTGTCGGAACCTTCGAATATCATATAGTTTATTCCTAGTTGTTCGAATCGTTGAGCAGCTCTCAATCCAGCAAATCCTGCTCCAATGATAGCAACCGTTATATTCTGAATGGAGTCGTTCAAGTTCATTTTCAGGGACAAAAAGCTACCTGTCCTTGTACATAACCACACAGAGAGCAAATTAATAGAAGAAGCGTTTTCATAGCATTAGAATGGGAGAAAATGATTGTCAAATGTTCAAATAGGCATTTAATGGAATGAATTGGTAAGGGCAAAGTTTAGCAAGCGGGGGCAGAGTCAATAGACGACGGTTGTCTGGTATTTAGCTTACAAACTACACATGCTAGTTTGTTTTTCTGAACATTCGATTCTGGGGAAAAATTTTTTGAAATAGTTTGAATATGTAGACCAGCCGTATCCCTTCCGATTTGGAATTGTCTAAAAATACCTGTTTAGTAAATATACAGTGGCGAGAAGTGGTGAGGAGAATTTTTTCGAACATTAATAACTGTTCAAAATAGCTCAATTGACTTGAAAATTTGCATGAGAATAGCTGTAAAATCCAAAAACATAAAAATCGGTTTTTTTGAAAATATTTCATTTTCGAAATTTTCAGAGCCTGTTTCAGAAGTAACAGTGGTCAGAGAGTCCAAAAAAAAACGTTTTTTCAGAATTTTTTCTGGCGTTGATTCTAGATGTCAAAAAATTCTCAGTGTCCAAATATGCACCAAAAACGTTTTGAAGAATTTTGGAAGTCGGGCTCTCGAGTTATGATGCTCACTAGGGAATGACTCACAGAAGATGTGGAGTTATGGGACGAGACCTATATCATTCGAAAGAGGGTGAAATTTCATTTTCAAATATATGCTCAGTTTTTGCGGCGGCCTCCGCTAACTCGAGAAATTTAGGTCAGAAGTTTTCAGTAGATTTTGCACTGAAATGCATACGTGATCGGAAATCGGAAAATTTGAAAAGAGGTGTATGGATCATGAAAACATGCGAATTTTCTTCAGAAATTTTTTTTCCAAAAACTTGGTTAATTTGTATTTGACAAGATGCCAAAGGTGTTTAGAGTATGGAAAACTGCTGAAAACAGCTTTTGAGCTCAAAAACAGGTCATATAAAAAACCAACAAAAAATAAAAAAAGAGTTTCGACTATGAAGGAGTCGAACCATAGAGTACCATTTCCCCATCCCGCCGCTTTACCACTGAACCATCCCACTGCTGTTTTCAATGGTTCTTCAAAGCGTATAAAAGAAATGAGGACGTGGAAGCGTTCACGTATGCATTTCAGTGCAAAATCTACTGAAAACTTCTGACCCAAATTTCTCGAGTTAGCGGAGGCCGCCGCAAAAACTGAGCATATATTTGAAAATGAAATTTCATCCTCTTTCGAATGATATAGGTCTCGTCCCATAACTCCACATCTTCTGTGAGTCATTCCCTAGTCAGAGCACAAAAGGTATGTGTCGGCATTTTGGCCATAACTCAGCTGAAAATGTATTTTTGATGCTCAAAATTTTACAAAAGATGTGTTTTGAGTTGTTCATCAGTTTTATAACAAAAGTTTTTCAATTGTAGAAAAAAGTTTTGTTTTTTTTCCACCTCTAGAAAAAAATTCGAAATGAACAACTCAAAACACATCTTTTGTGAAATATTGAGCATCAAAAATACATTTTCAGCTGAGTTCTGGCAAAAATGCCGACACATACCTTTTGTGCTCTGAGCATCATAACTCGAGAGCCCGACTTCCAAAATTCTTCAAAACGTTTTTGGTGCATATATATATTTGGACACTGAGAATATTTTGACATCTAGAATCAACGCCAGAAAAAATTCTGAAAAAAGGTTGTTTTTTTTGGATTCTCTGACCACTGTTACTTCTGAAATTGCTCTGAAAATTTCGAAAATGAGAAATTTTCAAAAAACCGATTTTTATGTTTTTCGATTTCACAGCTATTCTCATGCAAATTTTCAAGTCAATTGAGCTATTTTGAACAAAGTTATGAATGTTCGAAAAATTCTCCTCACCACTTCTCGCCACTGTACTTTAATGGAATGCTCCCAATTATCAACTTTAACCCCATATACCGGAAACACTCTAATAGAAGACCACCGCATACTTTTCTTTTGAACTCAATTATCTCAATTTGTATAAAAGATATCAAAAATGTATCAACTGATGTAATACTGGTGATCAACTGATGACAAACATTTCATCAGTTGACAGATTTTTCATTTCTTTTTTGGAAATTGAGATAATTGAGCCCAATGTGCAAGTCAGCCTTCCGTCAGCAACATGGTGACGTTCTATTAGAGTGTTTATGGTATCTCATTTACTGTTTTATGATATCTTTTATAGGAAATCAGCTGAACGGTCTCAAAGTTAAAAGTTTGGATGGCACTACGTTAGAGTGTTTACGGTATTTAAAATTTGAGTTTTGGGTTGTTGGTTTTTTGGCATTTTTCGTCCAGATGGTTCCTTTTGACAACTCTCTATTTTCTTCCCGAAAAATTTTGTAAAAATTTCAAAAACAAGAAGAAAGTCACAACCAGTTTAGTTTCATGTGTCACTTTTTGTCTCACTTTGCTCAGTTCTCGGGGAGGCGAAAAGGGGTGTCGAAGTGTTGAAAAACGAAAGGGAATGTGTATGAGCGATCTCTTGGGAGACTTATGAGATGAAGAAGAGGAAAGATGGCCCCAATTCTAAACTTCGACACGTCGTTTGTGTGCCGCCCGTCGACACTTTTTACCAAAAAGACACAAGACATGTCATCATCCATTCCCGGAGAGCTGAGCTTTTTTTCCCAAAGACGAACTTGTATTTGGATGAGGATTACTGTAGGAGACTCCCTCTTTTTGACAAACAGGAGTTCAAGATGTCGATCGAGAGGGAGATTCTGAATACAATTAATTTGTGCATGTCCCATTCTCAGATGGGAGCCATGACAAGAGCCAATGAAAAAAAGAAGTCGGCGATAATTGAAAAGAGTAGGCAATTTCCGGCTGCCAGTCTCTTTTTCCGTTTTTGAATTAATGAGTTCCCCGCATTTTTGGAGATTGAGATTGTGGGCGAAAAAGATTTTTTCCATTTCAGATCTGTCATTTCGGATGGTTGGAAATGTGAAAGGAGTAGAATATCAAATGGTGCAAAAGAGAAAAAAAACATTGAAGATGAACGGTTTTCCTGAAACTGTAAACGAAAACTTTTATTTCTTGGCTTGTTCCTCCAGATTGAAAAGTATTAATCTGATGCTGAGGATGTGTTTTGATAACTGGTATATTAAAATAGGAGGAGCTTTTAAACTGGTACAGAAATTAGAAGAGTGGAAGAGAAACTCCGACGGCGGTGACCGAAGTTCTTAAAACGAAAACTACCGTAACCTAAAATATTTTTATTATCAGGATTTCAGTCAATTTGTTTATTGTCAAAGTGTTAGCTATCCGACTTGTTTGGGATGAAATAACAGAAAAATAGAGACGAAAATCTGTAAAAAACGATAAAATAAATCCGGAAAGTCATAATATTTTCAGGATATTGTATTTCTCGTTTTAGGATCTTCCACGGCCGCCGATGTTTCTCTTCCACCCTTTCGATTTTTTTCCCCCTAATAAACGCTCCTCCTATTACACCCTTTAGATTTTTTCTGCCAGTATGATACAGTCTCTTCTCTTGGTAGTCCGATTCATTTTTTTGAGCTAATTTAATTTAACGTTGTTCATTCGCCAGCAGGCATACTGTAGTTCTCACTGGCACATTTGATTTTCCTTCTTTTTTTACAGTCTTCACCGTTATTGAGATTTATGTTTCGCACAGAATTAAAATCAGAATATATATATTCCACATGGAGATCATCAAAAACAAAATTTAATTGAGTTATTTAATTGGGTTAGGACTCTGATTATGGTTCTTCATAGCATAGCAAAATAATCTTCTCTTTCTTAAAAAAAGTTTCTTCACACTTCTACCCCAAACCATCCCGCGGGGATAGAACAAGCGTTCTGTGACAACACGAAATCCCAGAAGTCCTCCTTCTCAATTCGTCGTCGTCGTCTTCTTCTGCGACTGACGACGACGTGTTGAGAGACAAATGACACTAGGCGATGAAAGGCAGAGAAGAAGCATGAATAGGGGGCGTGACCCCGAGCTGAGCTTCCAAATAGAGCACTTTTCTTCATACCAGTGTTTTGATTTCTCCCCCTTAGTGACATAAATATGGACGTTCGGTATCCCCCTTTCTTATTTTCAATGCCACATTTGATTTATAATTCCTGGTCAGTTGATAGTACAGTAAACTTGGTTTTATTTTATATTAGAGATGATTCCAGGTTGAATCTGAATACTATCCAAAATGCTCCAAAACTTGCGCAATTCCAACTACAGTCCATGAGAGCAACACTAAACGCCAAACCTGTGAAGAAAGAAAATGAAATAGAAGAAGAAGGAAAAGAAGGTGTAGAGGCCAAGTCAAAAGATGATACTGTACCAAAAAAAGACATCATCAAGAAATCGGACGAAATTAAAGAAGATCGGGAAGACGAAAAACAAGTAGAAGAAAATGATGTGAGTTGGTTTGAACTACCGTAAACCCTGTAATAGAAGGGCCCCCACATTGGCAAGTTTGAGCTCAATTATTTCAGCTCCAATGAAAGATATGAAAAAGTAACCAACTAAAAAATATTTCTGAAATCATTAGTAACATTTTGTCCGTTGACCAATTTTTGATTTCTTTCACAGGAGGTGAGATAAATGAGCTCAAATCTAAAAGTTAGAAGATTACATTTTTTCCGGTAGTTCAGTTACTATTCTTGTCCGTCGGCGATGAGTTTTGTAGCAAATTTCATTCAAAGGCATTCGGCCTAGCAGCGAAAACATCCACGATTTTTTGAATAAATGCTTGCGTCATCGATACCGTATCTCGAGAGTATTTTATTTTTGCATATTTCTCTCAGATTTTTGCTTTTATTTGGCGATTTTCTTCCGATTCTCTGATATCCCCATTGGGGAATGGGCTCCCCAGGGGTACCCCTTCGAAAAAAATCGAGACCTTATATGGTTGGATAGAGCGTAAAAAGTTATTTTAGATTCCAAACGGAATAGTTGGTAAAAATTTTTTTTTGGGAGTTATGGTCCAAAAAGTACCAAAAAATGCCTAAATTTTCAAAAAATCGTAACTTTGTCAGTTTATGTCCGTTTGTTGAAATTTGAAAAACAGTAGATGGAAAATTAATTGAACATTTGAGAATAAAATTCTTTAATTTTTTTCCTATTGATTGGATTATTGATTTTTTGAAAAAAATCAAAAAATTTTTCCATATCTCGAAAATCCTAGGTTAACTTTTTTTTTTCATTATAACCATTATATTCAGCACATTTGATTTACAATAGAAACATATCAATACCCCGGGGGAAATCATGCTCACACAAGTTATGCCGAAAAAATGAAACAATATCCTAGAGAAAGTAGAATCAACTTGGTCCCTCTGGTGAAAGTAGGTTAAATGAACGATTTCCGAACGATATCCTTCCAGCTTCGGACAGCCGAAATCGACCTTTTTCCATTTCACCTATTTTCACGATACGAAACAAACCAATAACATTTGCCTAATAGTATTTTTTGATTTTAAATCAAATGGCGTTAACAGTTTTTCGATATTTTTTTTCGTTCTCAAGTTATGATCAAAAACAAAAGCTGTCCCATCATCAGTGAATATTTTTATTTTTAGGGCCTAATTGAAAATTCTGTTTAAGCCGTTGATAAGATTTTGTCATTTTAATTATGTTTAAACAAAAGTCTGGCTATTTCCATCAAGATTAACTATAGATGTGCCCTGTCACATGTCACACTTCACCAAAAATTGGGGTCAAGCTCGGAAAATCGTAAATATTTTTGATTCTAGGGCCTAAATCAAAATTCTGTTCAAGCCGTTGATAAGATTACGTTCTTCTGATTATGTTAAAAAATGAGTTTGGCCGTTTCTATCAAGTTTAACAATAGATATGCCCTGTCACATGTCAAAATTTTGCTTTTTTCAAGATGATGATTTTAAGAAATGGTACGGCATTTGAAAAATTGACTTTGTATGTCGCAGGATTCTATTTCAAACACTCTGAGCAAACGATATGCAAGTAAAAATCACAAAAACAAGTATGCCCCTCACCATACCGGCCGCCGAGGACAACGAATTCAAAGAAGCCAAGTGCCAAAAATCGATATTTTTCGGCATAACTTGTGTGAGCATGATTTCCCCCGGGGCATTGATATGTTTCTATTGTAAATCAAATGTGCTGAATATAATGGTTATAATGAAAAAAAAAAGTTAACCTAGGATTTTCGAGATATTAAATTTTTTTTTGATTTTTTCAAAAAATCAATAATCCAATCAATAGGAAAATAATCAAATTTTTTTTTTTTCAAATGTTCAATTGATTGTCTATCTATTGTTTTTTGAATTTTGACAAACGGACATAAACTGACAAAGTTATGTTTTATTGAAAATTTAGGCATTTTTTGGTACTTTTTGGACCATAACTCCCAAAAAAATTTTTTACCAACTATTCCGTTTGGAATCTAAAATAATTTTTTACGCTCTAACCAACCATATAGGTCTCGATTTTTTTCGAGGGTAACACTTGGGAGTCATTCCATGTCAGCTGAAATTTAACGTCCTGATACGGTATCGAAGGAACACGCATTCGCTGAACCGACCTTTAAATAGGATTTCGGCCAGCAAGGCCGTCGGACAAAAATAATAGTTTCCTGTTTCCCATGTTTTCAGACATCAATACTTCTGAAACTAAAACGACGAGTCGCGTGCGAGATCTGTGCAAAATCATTTTGTGATAAAGGAGCATTGAAGATCCATACATCGGCTGTCCATCTTCGAGAAATGCACACGTGTACTGTAGCTGGTTGTGGGAAGCAATTCAGTAGTCGTCGCAGTCGTAACCGTCACAGTTCCAACAAAAATCCCAAATTGCACATGCCCGAATCATTGACCCTAGGTGGAGTTGGGCTTTCTACAAAGCCAAGTTTAGAGGCGTTCTGGCCTGCTGCTCGATTCTTGTTAACAAAGGAACATCCACTGGATTTATCATTGAATGTTGTTTGAAATCTTTCAATTTCTTTTTGTTTATTCATTTCAAAAGTAAATAATATATAACTGTTACATGGAATACACATCTCAAGTGCTTAGAAAATAAGTGAGATCGGCAAAAAACCGGGCAATACATAAAACGTAATTAATATCCATCGGGAAGATCCACATCCAATATTTTCGAGATACTATTCATAATGCTATTATCAACGGTATCCAGGTCAGATACATTTGCAAAACAGTCCAACACACGAGTCGTGCATGTTTCAATTCCTTTTTTGATTTGTTGCAAATTCGTTTTTGAATACTTCTCCAGAATTCGCAAGAAATGAGATACAATAACCAGCTCTGTCAGCTTGCGTTTTGTCTCTGATTGTCCTTCGCTTTCCGGGAGTATTTTGGCGTCTTCGGAAAGGCATTTTTTGTAAAATGTATCGAAAAATTTGTTAGCCAGAATCTTATCCTTCAAAATCCATTTGATGACAGCGAGGGTAATGAATGGAGGAGGTTTGTAATCTTCGCTACGCGGGTCTTCGAATTCTTCGTCATCATCCATGATGGAAGACACAGCAAAACAGAAGCAATGAGAAAACAGTCTGTTAGCCATTTCCTCGTCCCATTGGTCAGTTTCATTAACCTTTTTGTGTAATTGGCGAATGCCGTCAGCAATTTCTTTTTCTTGATCCAACGAGAACTCATCATCGCCTAGATCTGTGCATTGTCTGTTGAGCCATTTAGGAGTGAATCGCAGAAGTCGAGCCATGGAAGTATGAGTTTCTGAGTATGATTCTTCACACAGGATAGCTCCGACCCGAAGAATTGGAACGAATATCTCGGCTGGCGTGTTGCTGTTACTGAATGAAGTGGTGATTCTGAAATTAAAAATAATGAAAGCTTCAGGAATTTCTAATTTAGTTCAGTCTTACTCGCTAATCAACTGTGCCACAGTCGTCTCATCCTCTTCCTCTTTCTCTTTATCTTCTGGTGACTGATTTTCTGCGTCTTCTTCATCTTCATATTCAACAGGTCTCGTTTTGAAATCATATGCCGATAGAGCGACAGTGATGCAGTTCAAAAATAAGCACGAGAGTTTGATAAAGAATTCCATGTTGTGCTCTCCGATTTGAGACATGCTTCCAGCGACATTGTTTTGGAACCAACGGAGAAGATCTTTAGTTGAGTCAATAATCAGCTTTCGCTCTGCCTCGTCTTGATTATTTTCTGACACAGCATACAGAGGGAGAATGAATCGGAATTCCAGTGCGAGTAGAAGGTTATCGTCACTGAGAGCATTCTCTTCGTTTTCTTCCTTCGCCAAACGTTTCTCAATCGCTTCACGGACAAAGTCAATTTTCTGAAAAATGGAAATAAGGTGAATAGTCTTATTGGCAACCTACTTTCTCCAAGTGTAGAATTTTCGGTTTGAAAGTGTCATTAGAAGCAAGAAGACTGGAAGTACTATGACTTTGTAAAACGTACTTCAGGCGGCCAAGAGTAGTCTGTAATGTTTCATTTGGATCTCCGACGTCACGCTTCTTCTTTTTCGACTGCTTCGGTTGCTCTCCATACAAATCGCTGAAGACATTCAGCCCATTCGACAAGGAATCAAATACGGATTCAGGATTGATATGAATTGCTGACTCGAGGAATGGTTCAACTGCTTCTTCGGGAACTTCATCGTCTGCTAACCGAGCAAGAACATCCGCAGCGACTGTTTTTAAATGTTCCTTCGGGATGACACTACTGATTGCGGTGGCTGTTCCTAGAAGGGGCGTATTACCATAGTTTTCGAATATTTGTTTGACAATTTTTCCAAACATCTGATCAATTTTGGCTTTTACTGTTGGTTCGCAATCGAATATCAGAATCTGAAAAAGCTCAATGAAGATCTTAAAAACGAAAGAAATCTTACTCTCTTGCAGGACATGTAAATGATCAATGAACACTCTAAATATGCTCTAGCTCTTCTGAATCCTTCCGATGTTTCTGTCAGTTCTGTCTGATCCTTCTTTCGAATCAGTCTGTATGCCCATCTATTGAACATAGAAATTAGCTCTTCTGCTTGTTCTCCGTCGATAATTTTCAGTGGTCCTAACAATCGGAAGTAGCTCAACAGTGCGATTCGGCTTTTATCAAGCATATAATTCACCCGAGGGCGATAATGCGCTTCGTCAAGACTTTTTGAAATTGGAATGAAGATGTGGATGATTGGAATCAGCTGTTTGCGGCAATCTTCTACATTCTCAAGATCGAGCACTGATATCATATCATCGCGATGCATGATGTCGAAACAGCTGAAATTTTGAACTATGTGAACTGGCGATTCACCTCAGAAAACCTACCTAATAAATTTATGATTCTTCATTTTAGCCAAACATTGGAAAGCGGCTAGCCTGACCCTCTCCGAAGAATCTATAACTCCGTTCTTCGCAGCACACTTGAATCCATGCTCGAATGCATTCATGCAGTTTGGATTGAATGCGATTTCATTGAGTCCTTCGTAAACAGCTACTCTCACTCCGACCACAGAATCCCTAGCTAACGTATCGATAATATATGTCATGAGCTGTTTTGCGACAGCTTTATCGATGATGAACCAATAATCACCAAGAGTTCTCATTGCTCTCGGAATCGCTTCAGTACGGATGGGAACGATGTCACTTTGAAGGAGGTCAGAAATATAACGGTACTGATTGGCCATCAACTTCTCCATATTTTCTTTGTCTTCTCCAGTTAGTGGGAAAAACATGAAAAATACTTCGGAGGCAGCAGACTGAACAATATAATTTGAGGATTCCAGTGCTCTCCATAAGCATCCTTCTAGAATTCTTGAGATCATTTCATCCACACTGACTTCTTGCTTTTTGGAAGTCGCAAACGGTACGAGCATTTTACGAAACTTGGATCCCAATGGCTTTTGAGCATAAAGCGCGTTTTGACAAATCACTCTGATAATATCGTTTTCCATCTCTTCTGCCAAATCAAATTCACCTTCTTGGAAAGCATCCAACCAGGCAGTTGTGAAAACTTGTCCATACCGTTGGCATTCTGCACTGAAAAACACGAATTTTAAGTTTTCAGTTAAGCATAAAATGATGTTACTCTGTCATATCGTATTTCGTCATGTTCTTCTCTACCAATGTCATTCCATTGGCTACTCCAATTTTGAAAAGTATGGCAGCGACAAGCTTCACACCTTCTGGGCACGCTGTTAAAGCAGTTGAAAAAAACATCATTCGAAGAATAGACGGATTCGCATTTTCGAGTATGTCTTCGTGAACGGCCCACAACTTTTTGATGAAAGTTTTCTGAAGTCCTCGGCCTGATTTTTGTATGAACTCGTTGAGCAGCTGGTTCCAGTCTTCCGGTGGTTGTTTGTTAGGTGTTACTGGGTTACTTTTTGACATTTTTCACCTCTGAAAGTTTACTTTTTTATTTATATTTCAAAAACGAGGAATTATTGAAGATCTTGTGAAAAAATTGGACGAAAAAAGTAAACAATTTTAAACACACAATTTTGCCGCCGCCAGTTGTTCAACAGAGCGCTTTCACAAACATCTAAGCTCCGCCCACTTTTTCTAAAAATTGCATAATTCTATCTTATTTTTTCGCAATTCTGTCTCTGTAATTATTGTTTTAATCCATTTTTTGTACAGAGATGTTCGCGAGATCAACATTTGTCCGTTTACTTTCGACCTCTGGAAGACAGTTAGCAGAAGCCGAGAAAAAAGTGTCTAAAGAGGTAAAAAACTAGTGAAGACAAAATCAAGTCAAGAAAAAATATTTTCAGGCCCTTATGACTCTCCGCAAGCGCACTGGATACAGCTACGTTAACTGTAGAAAGGCTCTTGTGAAATTCGGTGAGAATGACATGGAAAATGCGGTCAAATGGTTGAAAGAAGCTGCAGCCAAAGAAGGATGGGCGAAAGCAGCCAAGTGAATTTTATTTTATAATTTCCGAGTTTATGTCATCGAAATTTCAGACTTGGCACCCGTGTCACATCTAACGGTCTCGTGTCTGTCGTCTCCGACAATTCTGCAGCTGCCGTAGTAGAATTGAGCTGCGAAACAGACTTCGTTGCTCGCTCTGGAGCGTTCAAGGATCTTCTTGCCAACATTTCCAATTCCGCACTTTCAAAGTCCAAATCACAGTCGGTATCCGGAGGGGCAAAACTTCAAGAGTTCAACTACGATCTCGGAGATTTGACTGATAAAGAAGGAAAGAACATGCGCGAAGTTCTTTCACTGGCTATTGGAAAACTTGGCGAGAACATGGCTGTGAAGCGAGTGAAGGCCTACAAGGCTCCAGAAGGAACAACTCTATTCGGAGCATCTCATCCCAAAGATGGATCTGACGAACTTCCAATGGGAAGGTTCATCTCTCTGGTTGCGTTGAAGCAAACTTCTAAAGGTAAGTCAACTGCTCCAAATGTTTGTTATAATGCTTTTTGTTTCAGGATCAATTAGCAGTCAACAACTGGCTGGTCAAATCTGTCAGCACATCATCGGAATGTCACCAGAAACGCTTGGAGAAGCGGTGGACACCGCCAAATCCCAGGAAGGGCTGAGTAGCCAGGAAGGTCATGATCCAGATGCTGATCCAGTAGTTGTCACAAACATCGATGATTCCGAAACAGCGCTGCTCCGTCAAGCATTCATGTTGAATCCATCGCAGTCTGTTCATGAATATCTCAAATCCCACAACGCGAGTGTCATCGATTTCGTCCGCGTGGAGCTCGGAGGAGAGCAGTAATATGATCTGATATGATTGTTTTTTTAGTAATCTTATTTGAAAATGTTTAGTTAGGATGTGTTTTTTTTTCTTTCATTGTTTTTCTATTGAAATGTTTTTCAATAGTGTTTCATCTATAAAGCGGTTCATCATACGAACGCATTGTTCATTGAGCCCAAGAATAATAATAATAATTTATTACGATGTGAAATCGTGAGAAACGTAATGACATAAAAATTATTGTGCAAAACAAAGATTGAGCATCATAATAAAAGAAAAAAAAATTACACGTTCAAGAGCTAGTGGAATTAAATAGGTGACTGAAAAAATAGAGAAACAAGTAGGCGGAAAGCAAAAGTGGGACAAAAAATAAATAAGACATAGAGAGACATAATTAAAACATAAATAAGAAATGGGTTGACATTAAGACCGATATTAAATAAAATGAGACATAGTTATGGGTATGAAACCTGAAAAAGACCTTCAATATCATTTGGGCTTCATTATTGCGCTAAGAGTACGATTCGTGAAGAAGCTCCCCTTAATTTTGGTTTTATGTTTTGCCCAAATTAACCTCGTTTTAGTACTCGTTTTGTTATTTAAGTCTATCTTGAAGAACTTATTTGTTTCAATTTCTACTTTCCCTGATAACATCTTACCTAGAAATTTGCGGTCCGTGGCAATGCGACGGGATTCTAAAGAAGTAATGCCGTTTAGCTCATTGCGTTCTGATGCCGATTTATATTCTGAATCATCAGTTCTAATGAACCTTCCTAGTTGACTGCTGAAAAGCCTTCTGGTGAATGCGTTTTGAACTGATTCTATAGCTTTAATGTAATTTTTCTTTCGTGGGCTGGTCACAACTGTTGCATACTCTAGAATAGGCCGGACAAATGTTTTATAATGCCGCGTTCAAAGTAGCCTCCAGGAACTGGAAATTGCGTCCAAAGCTGTCAATATTTCCAGGTTTTCCATGGACTCAAAACTTCGATTTTCCTCGTTGTAGCTGTGTTTTTTTCTTCGACATCAATTCGAGGTCCAAAAAAAGAAAGTTTCTTGTTAATTTACAGCGGACCTCGAAAAATTAACACAGCTACAACGCGGAAAATCGAAGTTTCGTGCTCCTGGAAAACCTGGAAAAATTGGCAGCTTTGGACGCAATTTCCAGTTCCTGGAGGCTACTTTGAACGCGGCATAAAGTAGTACATGTAGTCTAGTATTGTCGCTTCTGTATCTATGAAAAATTTGTGACATTACGAATTTCGCTCGATTGTTGAATTTTCGCCAATGTTCGAAAAAAATAAGCTGAGGGTCTATCATGAATCCGAGATCCCTAATAAGTGTTTGCCTCTTAATTGATGCGCCTCCTATTACGTAATCAAACAATTTAGGGTTTGAGCCTAGACTGATGCATACTGTTTTCTCTTTGTTTGAAGCAAGCTTGTGTTCATCAGACCACTCAGCTATTTCTCTAATTGCTGTATGGAGTGGAGTAACGGTAGATTTTTTATCTAGAACAGCGTAAAATTTCAGGTCATCGGCAAATTGTTTACAATATACGTTGGGAGGTAAAGTTTGCGAAATCGAGTTTACGTAAATTCCAAACAATACTGGAGAAATTACAGATCCCTGTGGGACTCCACATTCTGCTTTTCTCGAGTTAGATAAGTGTTCGCCTACTTTTACACAACAGGTACGGTTTATTAGAAATGACCTTATCCAACAGACTAAGTTTTTATTGAATTTCAGTTCTAAGAGTTTGTCAAGTAGTCGGCAATGAGGCACCCGGTCAAATTCCTTCGCATAATCAAAATAAACAATATCAACTTGCTTTCCTGCATCTAAAGCATCAGTCCAGTCATTGATAGCTTCTAGCATACACGTGGTCGTAGATTTTTTTTGCTAGAAACCCATGCTGCGATGCACTCCAAAAATTGAATTGCATTAAATGTGATTGTATACTTTTTAGCAAACACCTTTCATATGTGCGACAGATGTGGGAGGTAAGACTAATAGGGCGGTAACCTGTGCCTAATTTGGGGTTGGGGATTTTATTCAAGGGTACTACTATTGATTCTTTCCATTGGTTTGGCACTTCGCCTCTCATCATTGTAATGTTGCAAAACTGAGCAATTTGACTACTTATTTGAGGGCCAATCAGTTTTATGAATTTGAATGGAACTAGGTCTGATGTTTTAGAATACGAGCTTTTAGACTTTTTAATCATTGCGTAGATATCATTATCTGTCACCCATGGCAGCTGCTGGTCGCTAGCATATTCTTCGGGAATTTCTAATGTTTTAGATTCTTTGTTAATGTACTGGCTAGCAAAGCATATCGAAAGTGCTTCTGACTTTTCGGAAGAAGTTGTAGCTAAAGTGCCGTCAGGACTTACTATACTAGCTATTTTAGAGATTTTAGGCTTTAGCGTAGATTTCGCGCAGTGGCTGAAACCGCTGCTACCATGTTTTTCCAATTTTTTCAACTCTGTGTTTTTCCGGAACTTGTTTAGTTTTGCACGATAATTTCTCGCTGATGCGACATAGGTCCCGAAATCATCTAGTAGCCTTGTTTTTACCGCAGTCTCATACTTTATATCTACATAGCGCTTTAGGGATCTTAGGTATTCAGGGAGCTGTAGAGAATCTATGCTTGCTCTGATTTTCGGTACCGATATTTGGAAAGCTGTTTGAAGGTGGTTAATGAAATTG